ATACGCTATTCATTATCTAATTGTCTCTAGGTCTATATGTGTAAACATGTATTTTATGATTGTTTACTTTATGCTATCTTTTCCAATCTGTTTTTGTAAAATATCTTTGGAAATTAAAGTCAAAATTGCTCAAACATTTTCAATGTTACTTTTCTTTTAAGGAAGGTCGAGGCTTCCCTTTGCTGTAGAGCGAACAAATGTCGACATAAACCAATTTGATACATATACCAGAAGTTACAGCGACCTTTCCATATTTCGAGGAACTCACATATTTTCTTATATAACAGAGGTATTTTGATATTTCTAAAACATTTTTCATGCAATTCAAATAAATGTTGTCTGATATATAAAAAATTAAGAGATAATAGATAAGCAGCTAATCAGTTAGAACAAATCTTAAAAAAACATTCATAATACGTCAAACTCCTGCTTTTTCTCTTACGTACTATATGTTGCATCTCTGTAAACATAGACAATGTAATTTCCCATAGAAACTCCCTTTACGGCTAAAACTGTGCCACTTTTACTATGAAGTTTCGTCAAAAATTATATCCTAGAATGGAAAGTTGATATGCACTACTATTTTATTCAAAGGTCAAAACATAGGGCTGTGCGGCATATTTTCAACATGTATATACCCCGATCTTCTAAGAGTTTAAACTTATACTTAAGTTCTGTACTACCCCTACCTTCACTTTAGGTGACCCTCAGAATTCAAAATTCCCTGCAACCATGTGTAAATATATTGGTAACATTCCAAAGTTATGTCTCTCTGAGATGAAACATAGAGATTATATCTGGGAACCAGTACGAAAACAAACAAAATATCTATGAATATTATATCTCCCCAAAAGGGGCGTGGTTTGTGAAACAGCTGTATTTACAAAGTGCAACCTATAAATGCAAACTTTTCACTAGAATTATGCTATTTTTTTTATTAATATCTTACTTGTGTCTAGTGCACAGTTTTCAAAAGGACGACTTTTTAAAGTAGGTGCTTATCATTATGTCTGCAGCAAAGGATTCTACTTTCCAGATGTGAACGTTAAAGCGAGAGCTTTTGATGGTTTTAAAATGTAAAATTCTTCGGATATGACACATAATTGAAGTTTGCCTTGTAAGGTGGGGTGCTCGAATGTGTTGCTAAGTTTACCACTTCATGATTTTCAGTGTCTGCTTTAACGTGCTACTCTTCTGACTTCTATTGCTAATGGTATGTTGTCTTTCATCAAAGTCAGCTTCCGAAACAACCCGGTACTAATTAACTCTTTTCGATACTGCCCAATAAAATCACTCGTGAATGTAAGCTGGATGTTTTTGATTATTTATTATTTATGAATATGTTATAAGTTATTGTCCAGCCATTACAGCGTTTCGTGTGGAAAAAATATTTATTCTTGGCTTTTAAATATTCGGCTTTCAGCGTTTCTGCTGAAGGTAAATCCATAAAAAGCGCTTTGGTCGCATGAAATTTATAAAATATTGTTTTCATTTTTTACAGTACTGGGTCGATACCACTGCTCTTGGATTATCAGTCTCCGACGGTATCATCAGCTCAGTTGTTAATACTTCGGTACTGACATGATTTATAACAAACCTTCTTAAATTGTTCGTTTATAAATTTAGAAATTATTAAGAAACGAAAGGTTCAACTCCCTCAGGCAAAGTTGACCTAACACGAATTTGGTCATTATTTTTAGGTCCTTTTTGGTAATAAAGCTCTAGATCTTCAACTGTTTCGGTTCTTAATTCAAGTGTCTGTACCAAGTCAGGAATATGTTGTTTTTCATTCTTGTGATGTGTTTGAGCTTTTGATTTTGCCATTTGATAAGGGACAGTCCGTTTTGAACTTTCCTTGGAGTTCTCGGTATTTCTGTTATTTTACTTAAACATGCTTAGCTTTCAAATATTTGGCTTTGATCTTTGTTGATAAAATCAAATTCCGAACAGCGTTTCGGACTTATGAAATTGAAAAAAAGTATTGTTTTAATTTTTTTTAATATCACTAAACAACTGTTGCGTCTAATTTTCCATTTATACTCTTTAATATTTTCTTAAATTCCTTCCTTTTTAGGAGATTAATGTTTGTTTTACATCCATTATACACGTAGATTTTCTTTTATGATTGTTAAAAATATGTTCGGGAAATTAAGATATAATCTCTTTACTTGGGTCAAAGGGAAATAACCTTATTTTTCTACTATTTGAAGTTACAGTGCGTATGAAGGAGTATTAAGCTTTCAATACAAGACGAGGAAAACATTTCCGAATGCACATAGTTAGTTTCAGTTTCAGTATTATGTAATTATGTTACATATTTTCCTCAAAGATTGCGAAAAGTAACAAAAGAAAAAAAAAAACAGTTAAAAAGTTACTTGACAATAAATTGGTTTGGATTCCGGAATCATATTGTTTTAGTCACCTTTTAAAACGTGTGTATTATAGATGAATTATATATACGTGTACTAAAAACAGTAAATGTAAGGATACATGTTTTTCATGTCATTTCTATGAGCAAATTGGTTGCATATATTTTTTCCCTCAAGAATTAACTATTTAAATTAAGTTGTGGTGTTTGTACATGTACACATGTTAATAACGCTTAATATGTAACAAGTGATACCAGTTGTACATCTGGATTATAGATGTGTTGGTGGTGAAAAGTAAATAGATTCCATAATGATTGTCAGGTAAAAACTTTGCAAATTCAAAGCATATACCCATACTGCGTTCTTATTCCCGTCTGATTCGGGGTCTTGTCGGTATGTCTCCTAGATATACCACCGCCAAGCTGAGTAATGATTGAAATCTGTCTAGATCTTTAATAAAATATTAAAAAATTTGAGAGAGGAATGAAATTCATTTGTAATATTTTTTTTCAAAGAAAACTTTGTGCTTATTTTCTTATTACGACTATAAAACATACAGACATTTTTTTGTATCAGTCATTCTTTTCTCAACTTTACCATATAAGGGGAGATAACTCGAAAATGAGAACATAATTAACTATTTTGTTTTGAAGCCAGAAACAAGTTCAGTGACCGAAATTTTTATCTTTATTTTTAGAAAGCAGTTTATGAGAATTATCTTCTCTGTATAATATTTTATGTTAAAATTTCATCTTTTTTAGATTTCCTTCTATAATACAAAATTGAGTTTTCCATGGATATTCTAAACATAATCTGACAATTTATACAACCCTTAAGGTGAACAAATCTCCTTGACTCAAGACTCTACTACATTTTAGTAAAGAGCATGATATATACTACATTTTGGCAAATTACTAAGAAATTCTAATGATTTTGATTTAGACCCTTGATCTACCTGAATGTTATTTTTCATGATACCAAGCGGAGAGTAAATAAAAGTGAGCATTCATTTAGCGTTATGTATAGCAATTAAAATTCTTTTGGCAAACAAACTTTTGGTTATTGCTTCGCACCACGGTGCGGAGCTATTAGTTTCAGTCGATATACACGCCTTCTTGAAATAATTACTTATCACATATAGATTCTGATTGGTTGCTTTATGATGCGGCTGAGATACAGCAACAGCTATTGGCTTAAACGAGATAAAGAATGATAGACTTTTCTCGTCTCAGGATGACATCAAATGCCGGAAAATTAACTATGTGTATTCCAGTTCCGATCAACTGTCATTAATTCATGTTCGTTTTATTATGCATATATTGCACATTGAAATTCAATATTGAAATATCAATTGTTAATACGTGTTTATTTGCACTGTTAATCTGCAATATGCACGATTTGTTTTGCTAAAAAATGTTCCTATACAATGTTTACAAAAATGCATTTTCTGTATTTTATAACTTCTGCCAATCTAGGCACGCCTCCAGAGAGGCACACCTCCAGAGTCGTGTCTATTTGTAAATGTTTTAATTTTCAACAAGTAAAGTAAAAAAAATTTTAAAAGCATGGGTGTATAACGCACACTCTTAAAGTAGAACAACATCATTTTCACTGAAACTAAATATTTATTGCTGTTTGCAATTATATGTTATCGCATTGCAAGCTTTATTACAAAAAAAAACTTCATTCTAACGCATTATCTTTCTCAAAAGTTTCTTGGACATGGCTATGAATCGGTCAAATTAAAGTCAGCACTCAAGAAATTTTATGGTCGCCATCATGAGCTGATTGGCCATTATGACAAAAGTGTGTCAGAAATCGTATCTGATATTGTTCTTCAGTCATAAGTAATCTTCCATCATTACCGGACTGGACATAAAAATATCACGACGGGTGTCGTAAACGGTGAGAATGCTTACCCTTCCCGATTTTTAGTGGAGTTCGTGTTGTTTCATATTTATTTCAACTGTTGTAAATATCTTTTGGTTGACTTGCACAAGTCTTTGTTTACTCCTTCGTTTTGATTGTTAATGTCTTCATCACTCGAAATCATGTTACTCTTAATTAACATACCTAAACATTCATATATATCTAAATAAATTATATACAGAACTAGCAATCAGAATCGCAAGTCAATGACCAGCTGAAAGAACTAGAAAACCACACTCCACAAAAACACATTGACAACTAAACACTGAACAGCCAGTTTAAAATTTCAGAAAAGTTCATCTTAATATATATACAAAAATTGATATTCCAAGTCTAAGACATCCATTTTATATCATTCAATATCTAAAAATACCACATTTCCAATACTAAATCAACAACCACATGCACACATATTACCTTAAATTAGGATAGAGCGAAGCAGTCCACAGCTTTTTAAAAAGCTCAAACTTGTATATGAAGTGTTTGCTTTGAATTTCACATCCCGTAAAGTTTTATATCTAATTCATAATCATCAAACATATAAGTACATTGTAATTAAAAAAAAATTTAAAGAGCCTACAGGACCGTTGATATTTATAACAATGCAAACATCTTATAACCGTTTTATTGGAGAAACAACTATACAACTAAATTATAAGACATTTAAAAATATTTGTTTTTTTCTACAATACTGGACGGATCTGTATATTCTATTTTCCGGAACTGTACTGAAATCCTTTTATTTTCTTTTTGCTCATATTGTAGGAAGAGCCAAATGATCAACCATAGGTTCAATTCTGTTATTGGCTCTCAACGATAAATTGGAAAGAGAAAATTGTTTATCCTGTAAAGCAATAAAAACACGTAAATTACAACTCGGAATAAACTTATTCTAAAAGAGTATAAATTTAGTATAGTGTAGTTAGATTTCAACGGCGTAGCCACTGGAAAATGAATTGTAAGCAGGGGGGTCTAAGGGTGGCAGCCCCTAGAAGCTGAACGATTACTAGTATAGTAAAATTCTTATTTAACAATTATGTTTTATAAAATTATTTGTTAGCACATGCTAACAATGTTACACAGGTGCTACGCCACTGGATTTTCGTATACTGTCTTTGTCGGTATTCTGTTTAATTGTTTTACATTTTTTAACATACCGTTGTTTACTGAATGGTATGGGCTTTGCTCATTCTTGAAGGTCGCACTGTGGCATATAGCTGTTTACATCTTTATCCTTGGATCTTTATGGATAGTTGTCTCGATATAAATCATACCGCATATTATTTTCTACCATTTTCTACATCAGGAAATGCCTGTACCAAATTAGGAATATGTTTTTAATTCGTTTGATGTGTTTGAGCTTTTTGATTTTGCCATTTGATAAGGGACTTTCCGTTTTAAATTTTCCTTGGAGTTTGGTATTTTGTTATTTTACTTTTTATACTTGATCATCAGATATCGTAAACAGCAAACTCCACATTTTTATTCGTAGTTAATAGAAGTACATATTAAAAACTAGTAAACAGCAGTTTTAAGACATATTTGGCAAGGAATAATTATCATACATTGATCTAGAACAAATTCGTCGGCATATATTTTCTTCATTTACTTTTTACTATTTTTGCTTTTCTATTTTATTTTTTGCGATTGCAATAAAAAAAAAAGATCGACAAAAATTGAAGATCAGGAAATGTATGATATATAAAGACAGATGAATTCGGTTACCATGATCTAAATGGCTGACGCACTACTTTAAAATACAAATCACTTAACTAACATCCCTCGTTTGTATACTGTGAAAAGGCTATTATAATTTGTTTTAAGTGCTCGTTATTTATTTTACGCCTGATACATCATGTCTTGCTTGTCTGTATCTTGTCGCGTTTATTTTTTATGGATTTAGTTTCTGTTTTCTTGTCTTACTTCCAATATTTGATTCTTATGTATTAAAGCGCCGTTTGGTTTCATATACCTGTAATTAAAAAAAACTTAATCTTAGCATTAATACCTTTGAATTCGGTGTAATATTTTCAATTGTTTGAGTACCAACCGACTTTGTTGGAGCAGCTTCAAAGTCATTTGTCCTTAGATATTTGTTTTCATTTGTTATTTTGAAAGCATCATTGGTTTTCTTGATATCTTCCTTTTTGTACAATGCTGATAACTGAAAAAAGACAAAAATAACATATATACTCTTTGGTCGGGTTGTTGTCTCTTTGGCACATTCCCCATTTCCATTCTCAAGGACGAGATAGAGAGAATTTTTACTTTGATTGATTAATTTTGAAATATTAGATGCATTTTCAGGACAACAGCAAATTAACAATACATCTTTTACGTGAAAAAGTGGGTCGACCGAGATGAAGATCGAGAACTTAAGAATGGGATTGGAAAAAAAAGGTACATCAATCCACCTACAGATCCCTCAAAAAGTTGTAGTAAGATTTGTAAGGTGAAAAAACGTTGAAACCTTCAGGGTTAAACAGGGATTTAGGTAGCAGTAGACAGTAAGAGTGTTTGCATTTTGGCCCGGTGGATTTTTAAAAAAAAATGAAAGTAATTGTGTAATGAAATTTATTTTTCAGACAGCTGATGACCAATTAAGCCTTCCCAGTGGGTTTATATGAACATCAAGATTGTTTTTGCATGTTTTGGCTATTTTCTGAACGACAGTCCGCATTGTCATAGCCGGACCGCCAATAGGTCGATAAATTATTGTAATTTTTGCAAACACTTTCTTTTCACACGAACTTTTTGATACTGATGACAGATACATGCACTTATATGATATGAAATAAACAGTACGCTTAATTTGTAGGAAAGCAAGGAAAAGGGATAGTAAAATTTGTGAGGGTCAATTAAATTTTTTTTTCTAAACGTATATTGCTACCTTAGCAATGGGTTTATCTGGACTTCTCCCGTTCGACAGTAAACTCTTTTTGTACGTCCGTTTATCTGTGTGAGATGTATAAATGCGAAGCCACGTCCTGTCGAAATATGGACGTTAATTACGATGCCTCATGTAGGGTGCATGCCATGATCTCTACACTTTACAGAAAAAAATTGAAAATGGAAACGGGGAATGCGTCAAAGAGACACTTTAGATATAGCTAATGGGGAGAGGGTCCGTATCACTATATGGCCTTTTAAAAGTCAAAATGTATTTCTCTATCGATCATTCCATCATATCCAGTGCATTCAAAATTTCCCGCTTTCATGCGGGTCGGCTTACTTTGCTAAATCTACATATTGTTCTTCCTGGAATTGTTAATTTCTTAAAATCGTCCTTGATATTTATTGGGCTTTCAACGTGTAATAATAAGTCAAAAAACGTACTTTTCGAACACAAGAAATTAGATTTAACGTCTCCATTCTGACCGTGCGTGGTTGCGTATTTATATATCCAACACATTCAAATGGACTTCTCTCTTTAGCATAGGTTTTACCGCCAGACTTAATAAGTCAAGGTAAACATATTTCTATACTCCAAGTGTAACCTTAGGGTGGCAATGTTTAACGAAAGAGGGATCTTAATTGGAGGGTCACAATTGGTTAAAAAACTATGAGCTACAAGTCCAAAATCGTCCTTTTTTGCGAACTAGATTACATTTTTGTAATGCCCAGTAAAAAAAAGAGGGATGTTTGTCTCACTATGATGTTGTTGCGTAATTTTCACATTTTATTTCATATTTACCTTTGGAACATAAATTAACGTCAAAGTTATTGTAACAAACGCCTGAATCTTCAGCCCTTGTAATAGGTACAACAAATCTGGTCCGTACGAATGACCAATCAAATGTCTGAAATGTACGTAGATTGTTTTGTCAGTACAGATATTGGAAAATTGTGAATTAAGGTAGTACATGCAAAATCAAATATTTCGTTTTCTCGAGAAATTTCGATGTTAATGATTAAAGAAATAATTAGTTTAAACAAGTCTTTAAATATCTATACTACTAAAGGAAGAGACCGATCTCATTGAGCCGCAACTCCTCTGAAACCATACAAAGTCGGAAATATTTGTGATATGACATATAAATGTAGTGTTTTGTACTTCCTAAATTTGTCTTTGAAACAATCTTTTTTTCCACAGAAAACGCCATTTTTGAGAAAATATCCAAATTCGGAGACCGTTATTGGTCTATGTCTTATACGCTTTCGCGCATGCTCAGTCGACGTACTGCCCGCGAAATCCAAGTGAAAGTAAGAAGAAAGGATAGAAAATAGGACAGTTAGGCCTATAAGGATCCTGTATTGTATTGTAAGTGCATCATTTTGCTAAATTAAACGACATTCACCCTTTTTACTCAGGTGCAGAACTGTCCAAAAATGAAATGGGCGTTGAACGTGTCGAAGTGATCCTCCCCCTTTTCATGTGTAAACATAGGCACCCGACTTCAGGACCCCTTCCCCCTTTTTATGTGTAAACACAGGCACCCTTGACACTCTTTGTTTCAATTGTACCGCGATTGCGCGGGATCTTCTAGTATATATAATTGATATCAAATACCAAAATATGAGATGACAGATATAAAATATCTCTCGTAATAGTTTCAATTAACCACAAAGATAGCTTTTTTGCAAAAGTGAAAAATGTGGAGAATTAAAACTGACAGCAGTACAGTCTCAGTTAATGGGGATACCAATTTTTATTATCTATTATAAGAGTTTTTCAAATTAAAATGTGATTGCAGATAAAAAAAAAGTAAAATAATTTAATGTTGTCCTATTGACCGACATTCCTTTTACTAAAATAATCCTAACCATGAAAAAGACTGTGCATACTACGAAAAGACATGATTGCACATCGGCAAAACAAATTGCTTTGGAGTACAATATGGATGTTTGACACCGCTATAAAATAAGAAGCCAAGGGTACAATAGTCATTCCATCGTACTATACTATCATGCAGTGATTTCAAAGTTTGCCTAAAAAGGTTGAAGTCATCTCAATTTCGCATTTACATCCTTGTCTTTGAGAGATTAATGGTAAAATATGGGACGAAATTCTTAAGCAACCAGTTATATATACTAGTATATATATATAGTCAGACAATGATGGTATAATTAACGAACTGGTTTTATAGTCACGATTGGTTCGTCATTGTTTAGTAAGTATCTCCTTTGAGAAAGGAGATATATTTCAATCAAGGGTCGCGTTCTTACATGGAGTTAAATATGACACTTTAACTCATATAATAATTTTTTAACATCCAAAGCGGGATCGATATATTTATCCTTCCGGAGCACGTGATATCGATTCCAGTTTAAAATCGGTTTGGTTTGCCTTGGCTTTGATTTGTGTTTAAATTTTGCAATAACTAGTCAGGTGTTAGTATGTCGATTTCTTTCTTTTTTTTCGTAAGCGGGAGGGGGCGTGTAGCTTTAATTACATTGCGTTGTTAACTTATAGTGTTTTGATTTTTCGTGAAAAAATGCTTAGTATAATAAAAAATAATTAGCTGAAAAGACGAAACAAGGAAAAATAGTCATAAGTTGAAACTATAATTTAATAGTAGTTTTTAATGTGAACGTTTTTTATTTCGACAATAATTTTTTCTTTCCAAATATGCTAAAATGCTAAAACTACACTTTTTGAATGGTAATTGGTTTAAGATCAACGAAGCAATGTTCGTTCTATAAATTGGTCTAAATTTGTTTTGTTCCGATTTGTTGATTATGATTCGTTTGTGAATGTTTAGACTATATAAATTGCAATTAACTTTGTATCATTTGCAGCACAAAAATGCTACTTCTAGCATTTGTTATGGGAACCCTTAAGAGAACGAGTAAATCAGGTTGCAAGAAACTTTCAATCTAAAACAATTTAAATTTATAAACTGGGTACTTAAATCTGATACACTCATACGTCATAAAATAAGTTGTCAAATAATGGATTAGACAATGACTATCGAAATGTAAATCTTCACCTTCATTTGCATTTGAAAATAGACTTGAATGTTATTGATCACATAGTCCTGATCTGGATCTCAAACCGGATCTACGACTTATGGCTGAGGGTGTGAATAGAGGTTTGCAGAATAGAGAATAATGGGCAAAAAATATAAAGAATAGAGAAAAAGGGACAATAAAAAATTATGAATAGAGAATAACGAGGTGCAAAAATATAAATAGAAGAGAATAGTGGGCAAAAGGTATAAAGAATAGAGAAAAATGGTCTTAAAAATGAAAAAAATACAGAAATGAAGGAACCCTCCTCCAGACCCTCATAGCTATCCAAAATTATATAATTTACTTACGTTAGAATCAATAGAAAACTGCCAAGTATTATTCCATTATACACTGCCCATGTGATGTATCTACTTTCATTGAAGTGACCAGGTGCTTTTCTCACCAGGTAACACATGTAACAACCAACCAATAAAAGACATACTTCAGCTGTAAGATAATAAAAAAATACAACAACTTCAAATGCATGTCTAATATGGTAAATTGTTTTAAGCGTTTTTATAATTCGTAAATTTTGATCCATCGTTTTCTGCTTAACGTCAAGTCGATCTGGAAAAGAAGTTGAACCAACTATAATTGCAAAAATAGCCAATATGAAAAATTTTAATATTCAAATTACATTAGAGTGTTACATAATCTAACTTTTGGAAGAATGTAACACTATCTTGTCTTGATCAATACTAAAGAAGTAATCATTGTATCTTTGCAAAGGTGATTTTAAAAACAAAATACTTGTGTTTTACCAATAACATACCACACTGAATAGCATAAAGCCAATAGCCTTTGAGACAAACATCATACTTCAGTAAATTTGAAGTTTCTAATGTTTCTGTCGTTCCTTTCACCGATATCGTCCAGGCTAGAAGGTATACAGTTACAACACACATCGGCGGTAAAAATCGTTTTAAAAGTTCTTTGTCTGGTAAATGTACTCTTTGTAATTTGCTTGCTGGTCGGAAAATAAAAGCTATCCTGAAGAAAAAAAAATAGCAAGGGGTGATAATAATATTATTCGTTTTAAATGTTCTTTTTAGTTTGCTTTTTGTTTTTCTGTCATGATTCTTTCGATGAAAATATGCTTCATTTCCATAGAGAATTATAATTGAGATTTATCCAAATTGAGTTCTAAAATTTTTCTTTTTTCTGGTTTACACTATATTTTCTCTTAATGTAACCCATAAGAAAAATGAATAAATGTAAATTCACAAATACACGAACATACCTCCATGTCTTTATAACTAGGGCACCATACATCAAGTGAAAACCTATATGATACACCCAGATCTGTGATATACAGAGAAACCTTGAAGCTCCAGGATATGCAAAGAATCCCTAAAATTTCAGAAAACAGCAATACATTTCATCATTATTTCATTATCGTACATCCTGTACACTTCTATGAATATAATTGGTTAAAAATAAACACATGGAGACCGTGTATATTTAATATTTGGTCAGTGGGCGTGTTTTTTTTTTAATACACGGTAAGTAGTGGTGTTACGTCTCTTTATAAAACAACTTGGCGTTGAAGAACAATCTGAAATGTTTCGTCCAGACAACAAATAAAGAAATTGATGACAACTGTTTAAAAATAAATACAGAAAACACATTAAAAGCTAATAAATTGTTAATAATATCGTATACGGTCACGAGCAAAATGTGTAACGAACATTATTTGTAAAATAAATAAGTTGAAATGGAAACAGCTGTACTTTATAACTTGCAATTCTATGTGAAATCATCAAATAGAATATTGAAACATGAGGGGTTGCATCAACCTCAACACAAAGAGATCAAATGAGTGGAGAGGCATATCGTTTTGAAGTGTAAAGATGAAGTTGATTGGTTGCAAGCTTACATAGGGAATTGTCACATTGAATACTCAATGATAGCTGCCAAAAAGAAGAATATGTGATAAATCCCTTGTTTTGATCCCCTAAATTCCAAAAAGCAAAACAGTATTATAAATCTATCAAATAAGATCCTTTAGATATGCATAAGACATTTGTCTTTCAGACATCAGTATTCATATTTCGGAATTTCGTCGTTCGAATTTTCTTTACGGCTTCAAACCTCTTACATTTCATAAACAACTACAAAATCTAACAAAATCGTATCATTTTGAGATATTTATTTTGAATATTTAGACAAAGGTAAAGGCCAAACCCTAAAGTATTATTTGCTTTAAATTCATACATTTTCTATGGTTTTGGGGTTTATGTGATACAATTGATTGTAATAATAGAAAAGAAGGGAGATAAAAAAAAAATTCCAAATGAGTCACAAATGAAATAACAGAAATCATTTTTAAAAATAGTGTACCTACCGTACAGCATACCAGTAATCCGCCTGCACACATAAGCAACAAGAAAATCGGACTTCCAGTCTTCATTGCCTGGTAACAAAACATTCAATCAAAAATCAAATCCTCTTAAGAAGAATTTTCATATTTATTATTTTTTCATTTTCATTTTATTTTTTGTTTCTTGTTTTGAATCAGTGGTGTTTTGGTTGAGCATCCATTCATCTTTTTTTTCGTTATATAAGTTTTATTTATATTCTTTTTTGTGTATGCAAGGCTATCAAATAAAAGTTTTTTCCTGGTCAACCAAAGATTTAATATGTCCTTTTGTACTGTTGCTCGACAAACAAATTTAAAACACCCAATTATAGGATTAAAAAAATCAATATACTGTTTGAGGGGCATGGATACAATCTAATGCTTTAATTATATCAACCTTTTATCTTTTCATAAGAGTTTTTTTCACGGGAATTAAATCTGAATGATCGAAAAAAAAAACAAATGCAGTTTTCATGGGACTTATTTTTATGTAATTGATTTAAAAAAATGCATTGTAAATATTCACTCAATACTGAAATGTCTTTGTCGATAAGATACATAACACAGAAGAAATCGTTGCTGCAGAAAATAGTAATGAACATTAAAACACTTGCGAAAATGTAATCATAATGCATAAATTACAATCGACCATTTTCGACTCTTAAAATAGAGAGTTTCATATCTATTTTTTTTTTATTTCAACTGTATATCCTTCCGTGTAAACTAATTTATCCGACTATAAAGATTAAGAAGAGTAAAATCAAAAGGAAGAATCGTATTAAGAATAAAAGTTGTTCCGCTTATTAATCGATACTGTTTCTGTTTGTCTTAATTATACTTCATCTTATGTAATAATTAATACAGTGAAAAGAGTTTTCAAAATGAAACTTAAACACGGACATTTACAATCCATCTAAAATCTTCTTGATCTTCAATAATTAAAAGGTGGAAAGAAATAATATTGATTTTAAAAAGGAAACATCAAATAATATGCAGGTTTTTATTTACTTTTTATCTCCAAAGATTGAAAAATATCTTTTTTCTTCATTTAGCGGTCTCATACATGTATTATATAACCTCTTGAGAATTTCCACTTTTTTTTCTCTTAAAACTATCAAATTAAAGTTTTTTTCCTGGTCAACTAAAGACAATTCTTATCAGAATGACACGTTTATCTATACAATCCTTATGTTCGTTGACATTAATTCCAAATCAGATATAGAGAATATAGAGCTTTGAAAGCAACTAATGTACATCACTATTTAACTCAAAACGTTGTGATCCTTTAAAACTCTTTACTCTCTTTAACTCTAAGTCAGAGTGGAATGACACAAACAATAATAACTGTGGCTTTCGGAGTTTTTGTTTTAGTTATACTTATCATAACTGTGACAACTTCATTTGTGTTTTTAAAATGAAAACAAAAATGTCTTAATTATAAAAATGAGAAGAATGTGGTATGATTGCCAACAAGGCAACTCTCCACAAGAGACCAAATGACACAGAAATTAACAACTATAGGTCACCGTACGGCCTTCAACAATGAGCAAAGCCCATACCGCATAGTCAGCTATAAAAGGTCCCGAAATGACAAATGTAAAACAATTCAAACGAGAAAATTAACGGCCTAATTCATGTACACAATAATGAACGAAAAACAAATATGTTACATAGCAACAAACGACAACCACTGAATTATAGGCTCCCGACTTGGGACAGACACATACATAATGTGGCGGGGTTAAACTAGTTTGTTGTCCCAAACCCTCCTCCCAACCTGGGACCGTGGTGTAACAGTACAACATAAGAACAAACTATAAAAATCAGTTGAAAAAGGCTTAACTCATCAGATGGATACAAATAGAAATACGTCTAACAAAAACACAGAGTGGACGTGGACGGGTACTTATACATCCACAACAGAAAGACACTAATACAGATCTGAGAGTACTCGCAGTTACTGACAGCTAGTTTAAAGCTGATGACAACTAATGAACAAAATCATGCATCTGAAACTAAAATATCAATCAGTACACATCCAACATCAATTGGATTTAGTGTAAAGACGTCATAAACAGTCAGAGAAAAACATGACCTTGTGCAATTCCAAGATACAGGTATCGACAGATTGTAGACCCATGAATGTGCATATGTATATTAAAATAATATTTAGTTTGATTTTAATTTACTGATAACAAAATCAATGTTAATACCAATAAAAACAATATTTAAAGATCTAATAGCAGTTTTGAATTGGTAACCTTTTAGAATAAGTTTATTTAAAGGATCGATGAGTTTACCCGGATCGTTTCCAAATTTCCGGTCTCGGTAAACAACATCTCTGTAAAAATAAGGATGTGCTATCCCGTTTGAAATAAGTTTTCTACAGTTAAACCAAACTTCAAAACCAAATCTTTATATCTATGGAAGAATTTAGTAAAGGTTTTAAGTAATTTGTGGTAACGAAATCCTTGACTTATTAATTTACCAGTAATACATAGATTAAGTTCATTGAAATCCAAAACGTTACAACAGACACGGGCAAAGCGAACGAGTTGTGATATATAAACAACCTAAGATGGTGCCAAAGGATTATCATCTACAAAAGGAAAAATTAACAATAGGGAACGAAAAATCGTCCCTTTTGTCGTAAATTTTAGTGTAGAGTTTCCCGTGTAAAACTGAAATATCTAAATCTAGGAAAAGACAGTTATTACTGAATATATTTGATTTGTTTAAGGTGAGTTCCTTTGGGTAAATTTCGGCAGTATATTTAGAAAATTCTTGATTATTTAACGAAAAAATATCATCAAGATAACGGAAAGTGTTGTTGAGTTTATCAATTAAATGCAATTTATACGGGTCTTTACTGAAATTGGTTATAAACTGTGATTCTTAACAGGACAAGAACAAGTCTGCTTTTAAAGTGGCGCAATTGGTGCCCATGGGAATACATGTCGATAAACTTTATAATGCCAAAACGTACATAAATATTATCAGGGAGAAAATTAACAGCTTCAATCATCTTATCACACCTCCAGTAAGTATATCTAGCATATTTACCTTTCTCATTGGAGAAGAAGTCTTTAAATGAGTTGCAGCAAATATATTTGCATTCAGATTTACCAAACGACCATTTAATTAAATAGGAAAACTTTTGTTTGATAATATTGTGTGGAAGTGTAGTGTGAAGAGTTGAAAAGTCAAAAGTATCAACAGAAGCAAAAGGAACATCAAAAGCACGTAATTTATCTAGACCATCCAAAGCTTTTTTACACTCCAAAAATAGTTAATTCCACTATTTTCATATATTTTATCACAAAAGTTCATGATAAGTTCTTTGATAGTAGTTATTTATTTAAATAAGAATCAAGAGATTTTTTATCAGATTTTTGCCGCTTATGCCAATTTTTACAACACGATGAAAGAGCGTCTTTTGTGACCTGACGACACTGTTTCCAATCTATTTTAGATGGAGGACGATATTTTGGTCCTTTTTATAAAAAGTTTTTGACCTCTCGTTCTTGACCGATATTGAGGTCCCCCTTAATAACATGACCATAGGGATCATTTCTAAAATTCGACGATTCCCAGTCTCAAGTTAAAGGAGTATTATTTTCCACATTGACGTCTGATGGTACTGACGTATAATCAAAAATTAAACTTCTGCTGGGTTTGTTGTATGTATACGAAAAAATAGGTGTTTCTGTTTTATCAAACTAGGAAGGTATAAAGTTTTGAATGGTAGAGCCATTAAATATACTCGATAAGTTGCTGAAATAAATACTCTGTTAATATATTTTATTTTCAAAAAGTGCCATTTATGATTTTCATGTTAATCGATACGCGGGAACAGCCAATGGTGGCAAAAAGCTGTAATTATACGCGAATATTCATAGAATGGGCTGAAGAACGAGATTGTTTAAAACACACCTGGAAAATATCATATAATTTACTAATTGGTATTTGACCCAGTTTACATAATAATTGATGCCTACTATTGTTTTAAAATATAGATAGGAGATCAGCAAGTGTATAATTTATACGATGTTTAACTCATTGATTTCGATTGATACGTTTGCAATGAGACCTATTTTTTAGTTGTCTTTTATCAACAATATTCATGATATCAATAGAAGAAGTTTAAGATCTGTTCCCTTGTCCCAGTATATTGTCATTTAGACCCATGGGATATGCTGTCTGCAGTCGTTTAATCCAAGAAAAATTCGATAATATAACGGGAATCTTCAAATTGTTTACGCGATTGCCATTGTTGTTTCTGGATCGTTTCGAGTGGTTTGAATCTTATAAATTTAATATTGTGATTGTGTTTACCTTAATGTTGGTAAATATACTTTTGAATTTCTTAGGTTTTCGGAAGCGGTATAGATGTTCACTTTGAACAGATAATTACTGTCATTTCTAACACATACAGGTGATCTATATCAGCGTTTCTCAAAAGGGGAGGGGGTTATATCAATTCATTTAATGTCTGTTTTTTTTTAGAATTTGGCACAGTCATATGAATCAAGAATTTATTGGTTTATAATGTTCAATATATAAATATATAAATATATATAAAAAATATAAGTTAAGTGATTAGTATTCTGGTTGGTAAAAGTCTAAATGTGTTTCTTTGTCTTTTTGTGTTTAAAGCTTGCAGTGTCTTCAACGTTTACCCCACACCAATTTTATTAATAAATATTTTTAATTCATAAAACATTAATAGGTACCAATTCATTCTTGAAGACAATAGTGATGACAGACAGACTTCCTATGGCGATACACGTCAAGAGAGTTACCAGTAAGACCGGGAACCTGAATACAAACATGAACTGGTAAAGGCATGGTGAATCATCAACACACTCCTTACAACCTTCTTTACAGGGTAGACATTTATACCGAGAGGTATCTGAAGAGTTTTCCACTTCCAGACCACTAAAGGCTTTAACCTGAGCGTTCACATTTGGAAAGTAGTACCCTTTGATGCAGACACACTGATAAGTACCTCTTTTAAAACCTTGTCCTTTCAGAAACCAACACTAAAGAAAATAAACGTTGCAGATTAGAATATGATTAAATAAAACCAACTAGTAATTAAATTAATGGAAAGAAAAGTTTCAGAAAATCTTCATTCTGTCAGCAATTTCTGTCGATTGGATTTCGCGTTATTTTTTTTTACTATATTATCGTGTCAATCTGAAGACCAACTGTGCTACTGTTTTTCTAAATTTAAAATATTTTTCAATATATAATAATAATAGTATTGCATTTTTTTTAACATAATCTAAAATTATATAATAAAGCTTAAATGAACTCTTTAAATGTGTTATACGTGTAGTAATATGAAAGTTCACATTGCATTTTTAGTGTGCGACTAAAACTATGAAATTGCTAAAATCAAATTGAAAAAATAAATGTACCTCTGTTGTCGCACGACATCGATGGGTTCCTCGGAATACGTCCAGGGCACTATAACTACTGGTATCTGGATCACATTGGTTGATGTCGATATTCGTTAGCTCTATATCAACGGAAGCCACACCTCTAGAGTTATTAACAACCAAATAGAAGGTGAATGGATTAGAAGATTTAGAAATCAAGAGGACGATGTAAGCCAAATTAATAACAGCTAATAAAAAGAACAAAACATTATGTTTTACAATAACGAACAAACTGGTTGGGATATTTTATTTCAAAATTTTCATTTCCATTTTGACGATTCTTACTTCCAACTTGACCATGTGTTGACATTTCTCAGTTCCAAATTGACAAACTTTCAGTTCCAAGTAGACATTTATCAATTCCAACTTCACATTTCCCAATCTCATGTTGACATTTCTTAGTTCCACCTTAGAAGTGAGAAATGAAATCTTAAAACAGAGAAATTTTGAAATGAAAAAAATTAATTTGGACAAGAGAAATGTCATTAATGTGATATATCAAGTTTGAAATGAGAAATCTAGATAAAAGAATGTCCACATCGGCCTTTTGGTTATAACAGAACATGTATAACAATCACATAAATTCATTTTTTTTTATTTCAGATCATTCAACTGAAGTTGTTTTTTCTTTTTTAATTAGCAGTCAAAAACCATTATGGTTTTCGTAAGGCCCCGACCATTCATCTTTGTGGGGAGCACGCGGTTTTTTCTTCGGTACAATCATTTTTTCTCTGAAACAACTATCTTTTTTCAATAACGTAAAAAGCAAAATCAATATATTTTTACTAATTCCAATACAAACAAAACTATTTTTTGTTTACAAAAAGATGAAAACACATTACAAAAACCTTTTTTTTGACAATCACATTTTAGCAAGAACCGCTTTAAATTTTCCTTTCATGATAAATGTGAACAGGAAACGCTACTTGTAAAATATGTGATCCTCATTTGCTTTATTTTCGTAAAAATGAAAAAAAAAAACCATCATTTCATTCAATAGTATTGTTTTTCAGATTTAATAATGGACACAAATCTAATTGCCTGATATACATTATTTTTGAATTCGGAATTCAGAAATCCTACATACAGTTGTCAACAGTGCCAGTGTATGAAATATGGGCGTACGGCAGGCTCTAAATCGGCGCGAGTCTTTACTATTGGGAGAATAAAATAAACATAATAAAATATCTGCCATCAACAGTACCCCAAACAAAATCATTACGACAAGACAACCGTAGACGAGCTTGTGTTTGATATCGCAAAATTTAATATAACCGTTTATAATCTTACTTTAACACTTACTGAAACTTAGGATTTCCGGTTAAATCTAGCGAGAATAAAGGCGATGAAAATGTAACCATCCAAATATCGCCTCCACCACAGTCAAAGTACGGTTTGGTCCAATGGCCGTCTTCTAGCTTCGCTGTCAGTAAAACTGTCTCTTTTTCCGGTAAGGATGTATTTCCTGACCTGAAACAAAGCAGAAACTATTTCAATCTTCGGTAGCTTGTTGTTTTTATTTTTTTTAAATTTACTTTATTATTAAGTTTTTATATCTGTGTATGAATAACTCTTTCACATCTAACCCGACAATTTAGTACCAGTATTCATTTTTTCAGCATAAATATGAAGTTTCATGCGTAAATAAGGGAACGATCATTTGATTTAAAAGGGGGATGGGGGGTTGTACCACACAAGCATCGAATTATATATTATTTTGAAATAAAAAGGAAGAACTTAACATTAAATAAAATGGCAAAAAACTTTCAATCAGATAATTATGTTTTTCCCTTCTGCTTGATCAATATATCTACTAGTATTTCTTCAAATTTAGTTACTTTCATAATACTTGTTAAGAAAAATACCCTACCTCCTCCCCTTTCAGACTTTAACCAGTACATTTAAGTTATAATATAGCGTTTTAATTGCCCATGTCATATTCAATTCTTGTAAATGTTTATAAAACCAAAGATCAGAAAAACTCTAAGAACATTTTGATATGACCTTGAAAAGTGTTTGCTGCTTTATACAGACTATTGCCATTGCTCGTTTTATGCTTTCACTGTTTCTTGCTTTTTGACTCTGATCGTTTGTGATAAAGGAAAACCAAGAAAGAAACAAGTCGAACGAGGTAATGTCGGTACATTTTGCTTCTATTACAAAAACAACCACGTTCATCAACGTCACTCGTGGAGCATTTTTGAATATTTGTATTAACCCTATCCAAGCCACCTCAACTTACACTAGGCATTTGGTTTGGTTCGTTTTGCTTAATTTTTGTTTTCTGTGTAGTGTTTTGTGGACAGTTGTTTTTTCTGTTACTATTCCAGGAACAACATCCTGTTTAAGATTTAGGAAACGATCTCGTATTACAGTCCAAAACTGGTTCCATGTCCTTTATCTGTTTCGCGTCAGTTACCCGTATGTTGCAATTGAATGAACCAGCCTATCCAAAACTTAGTTTTATAAAATCTGTTTTAAAGTTGCATGGGTTGACATGAATTGTCATTGGCATTGTCATAAGTACAGTCCTTGGATGGTGTAATCTTCCCACTAACACCACGCACCATTACACCATTACACCATACACCCTGTGCCATTACACCATACACGTTACACCTTTGAACCATACACCTTACACATTACACCATAATGCAATTTAATTTCAAAGAAAGCGTGCGTTATTTATTTATTTAAAAAAAAACGAATTTTTATCACAATATTGTAAATTAATGTATAAAATTAAAAATCAGTTCTTATCAATATTTTGCATAGTTTTTAATGTCGTACACCATTCATTCGCACCATTCCCGATCGCACGTTACACCATTACACCATTCCCTTTACACCATACACCATAGCAACATACACCTTCTACCATTGCACCATATTCAGTACACCATTACACCATACACGTTTTTTTTTGGAAAGTTTACATCGTGAAAGGACTGTACAAATTAACCGTTAAAAAAACTTTGAATTTTTCGAATTACTTAGGATTTGCTACCCCATTGATAGATTACCATGGCTATATTTGGCAAAACCTTTCAAAATTTTGGGCCCGCAATGATTTTAAATATCGTACTTTGTTTGGCCTTTTTAACTTTTTTATTCGAGCGTCACTGATCATGCTGATGAGTCTTTTGTACACGAAACTCATTTCTGGCGTAAACATTTCAATCCTTGTATCTATGAGTAGCTTATTTACACATATAATTCATATTTTTTAGTATAGAGAATATGCTTGAGGTTTAGTAGATTTTTTCGTTTTTCGTCATAATGCTCTTGAAAGGGCTACTCTTGACCCTTTTAGATGGTCATTATTTGCACCCATATTATAGTAGTAATTTTACAATGTAACAGTGTCTTACATAATAACTTAAAATAATATATTTCTTAGAATCCTTGTTCCTTTTAACACAAAAATATGAATAAACATTTCATTCAATAATTTAGCACAACCACAAACATTTTGTATCTCTCATTATGGGTGTTCCAACTGTTTGTATCACTCTGTTCAGATCTTCATAAAATTGCACATCACGGCTTTGTGACGTCAAATACGTTAACCCGGCGATAATAACTTTGACCCGGAAATATTAATGACGTTATAGGAATGAACCGACATTGATAAGTTTGACCCAAACTTATCAAGCCGTCCTCGAGTTTGCATGAAAACAAAGAAAAACACTTTTTTTCTATCATTCAAATACAGAAATTCAATCCGATAAAGCGATCATATGTATATTGTAAAATATCAGCTGCTCGACATGTGGATCCTTTTTTGAACTCGTTTCGCTGTTCTTATTCGACAAAAAACTTCATATTCTGACTCGCAGCTGATATTTTACAATATCAATATGCAGACAACCTCATGATCGGTACATACACTATTAGATATGCACATCTAGTGCTTTATAAATACTTTCTTTGTTAGTCGACAGTATCCAGAATTTCATCAAAAGACATGTGAAGATATTATATAAATTAAAGTTATCTACAGAAACAAATAGGTTTTTTTTCAAGCGTAAAGAGCATAACTCTATTATTGGATTTCCTTTGCTATCGTAATAATTACCTTGATAAGGCTATACTGTATTATTTATTATAAATGATTCCGGGACTAACACATTTAACAATGCTTTACTTATGCTCTTTCCTGGTTAAGGATTTAATATTCATGTAATATGCCACGTACTCGAAAAATGATTTTTAAGTACATTTTAGTACTACTCACATAATTAATGATGTTATTTAATATATAAACCTACCTGAATTTTGTTTTTGATACTGTTTTTGTTGCGTTTTCCCAGTTCATGTTCTGTGAGTGATAATACCACACAGTTGTGTTGTCTTGATAGGTATACGATAAAGCTATATCATGGGCAAACACAATCCCATTCTTACGGTAAGCGTAAGGTGAAAACGAAGAATATTTAGAATAGATCCCTGGCTCTATTGCTATTCCAGACCCGAATACAGTTGTTTGACCGATTACATTACTTTTTACTAGAGAAAAGAAAATTTCATCAGTCAGTGAATCGAGTGAACCATTATTTGCAAGCAAATTTGATGTTAGGAAGTTTGACGTAAGAATTGCCGGACTGACGAAAGTTTCCCAAGCTGTATTGTTAAAGATGAGGTCTAGTGTCTCTTCGGTACCACCAGTACAGGGACTTTGTTCTATTCTACTAACATATTCTAAAGCTAACTTGGTTGCCTCTTTGTCACCATCACCTGATAAAAAAATTCGAAAAAAATTAGAGGTTTTAAAAGTTAGGCTAAATGATACCTCCGCCCCTCGCAAAATCCAAGATTTGAATGCAAAAAATGAAACAGACGGACGAACGAACGAAGAAACTCCTCAATCACTATATGCCGACTACTATAGAAAGTGGGTGTATAATAAAGTATTAGGGTACTATTCAAGGCCTAACAATCTCGATACATCAAATATTCTGCACAAAGATAACATAGTTCTTAATGCATTGTCTGAGTGAATGTTTAAAATTTTTAAAGTAAAATAAAATTTTACATGTTTTATCATTGAACAGGCCAGAATTCTATATTTAAAGAAATACCACCAAAATGTTTTTT